GATGCATGTTTGGTTCCCGCATGACTATCCCATATCGTGATATGCCTCGTCACAAATGAAACCCAGATAGCTATCCGATGGTCCCCCTTGATGTGCAACATTGAGTACAAATGGTCGACATCCACGTCTTTCTAGTCTGGCAGTAGATAGGTAATTTGCCAGTGTAGTACGAATATGCTCCAGGTGGTAGAAATTTGCCAGAACCATTTTCATTCGGCTCAGAGTTTTTGAAGTCATTGCAGTCACGCCTCCAAACAGTAGCAAACATGGAGTTGAGGAAACAAATCCGGTCGGATACAAACCACTCCGGATGCTTGGATAATCGCAGCCTGAGTACGTTAATGTAAGCTTCCATGTGCTGCACATTAATGAAAATAAGACATGAGTGAAGTCTGCAAACGAAGTCTACTATAGAAGTCTACATAATAGGTCTACGTATGAAGTTTAAATATGAAGTCTAATATGAAATAGTAAATCACTAACCGTATCAGCTAGCCATTTCGTCGGTGTCCGGAGAATGTAATACTAGTCGATCAAAGAGTTTTTTGGACGTCTTGGATATGCACTGTATAAGTGAAAAAGTGAGACAGGAAATAATACTATGAGGAAGTCTACTTACATAAGTATAGAAGTCTACTTACGGGTTTGCTTTCACAAAGTTCATTAGAGTGGTATGCTTCGCCTTGACACCGGTTTAATCGAAAGGATCATATCCACGGATACGGCCGGAGTGAGATTCCGACGTTGGAATGATCGCCTTTGTGGTGCTATTTCCTAAGTACGGATTCTTCTGTGTCGCAGCCAGCTGTCAGTTTCTGGCACTTGTTGCTCGGGAAACTATCTGAGCCGCTGCTCAGGCTTTGGCATTTTTTGGCTAGTGCAACTGCGTCGAAGTCAACATCACACGTCTTTGGGTCAATTTCACAAAAACTAGGCTCGGGGGCCTCTTCTTCCTTCATGGCAGCCTTCTTTCCTTTTGGATCCCCGGGGGCGTTAACACTCTCACTCGCACCAACGTTGACATTATCTTTCATCGGAGCATCATCTTTCTCTGAATTACTCTGCAGTTTATTGTCACAAACAGGCATGAATATACAAATGACTACACCAATGCTATAATTTAGTAACATGTTTCATCATAGTCTGAAAATTGTAAACAACTAGTTTTTAAAACATAAAAAAAAAAATCTCACATGGTACATAGCACTATTAAACATGTTCGAATTCAAATGACATTAGTATTAAGTATTCCTATCTTTGTGTGATCTTGTTCGCATGAAATGTTTTCGTATAGGCGGAGGGTTTTTGGTACTAACCCCTTCATGCTTCATGGATCCAGTGACCTGGTGCTGGGTTGGCTCTACATTGTCTTTAACCTCTTCCTCAGTGTACTTTGCCGACCCTGTAGTCAACTCCTCTACCGCGCGCTCTACAGATTCAACCTTCTCGGTGAGAAGTTTGATCTTCTTTTCACAGCTACCAAGACCATTCAGCATCTTGGTTGAAAAGCTTTTGAAGCATTGGTCGAAGTGCGCGTTCATAGTAACGACAACTCCGACCCCTTCATCACCAACGAAAGAGGCGGCAGAGGCGGAGGTTGTGCAGGCTCTCTTGCGACTTGATTCATCTGAGGGAAGGCTCCTCTTTCCTGCTTCTGCCTTGACGATGTGTGCACCCAAAACACCTTCCAAAGGCCAGTGGTTTTTTGAGAACTTGCAATGGGGGTCATGGATTGCATTGACAATCTTGACAATATCCAGATCCTGTTCCTCATCATCCCAAACTAGAAACATATCCGCCAAGTCCTTAGCCACGCAGCACTGTATGCGAGCCTGGAAAAACACAATAAGTAAATGAATTACTAGCCATATGAAGCCTGGAAAAACTTCGTATGAAGTCTACCATTGAAGTCTACTACTGAAGTCTACAACTGAAGTCTCACACTATCAATATTTTATATAGAAGTCTACACATGAAGTCTACTTCTGAAGTCTACTTTGTAAATTCATTACTACATAGAAGTCTACTACGGAACAAGACTTCTAAAGGAGAATGACTAGACTAATACAGTACATGTTTTAGCATGTTGGCTTTGACGTTCTTTCGTCCTCTTGATCCTTTGTAAGCCAGCATAAGAGGTGAAGGATCATTTGGCAATGGTTCGCCAAATTCAGCAGCAAAATCCGGCAGAGCATAGTACACCCACACTTGAAGAGCTTGCACAAATCCTTCTATATGAATGTTTTTGCTGAGATCTTTCTCCTTAACAGACTTGATCAGATGCTGAAAAGCAATTCTTCCCCATGAAAACTCCTTAAAACCTTCGAGATCCATCACTAGTCTGGCATGGTTGACATTTGTGGATAACCCTGGTCTCGTTGCCACTATGAAACCAGCATAGATCCCAAGATATCCCAATCGCAGCCTATCATCCCGAGACCATGATGAGCAGTTGGAACAGGCTTCAATAATTTCGATAGTGCTTGGGCCCAACTCGACATCGACCCCCATTAGCTCCCAAAATGCACGCATGTCATCGGAAAGCTCAAGATCAGTTACAGCCAAGTCATCCACGTACCCGCAGTTGAATCTGGTGATCTCCTCAAACTCATGCAATGAAAACCGAACTGGAGTGGTACCAATCAGGCTCCATATCTCGTACCTCTGCTTGCAAACTATCTGAAAGGTCAGCATGTGGTGCACCAAGTCGTGGAACTTTAAAAAGACAACGGTGACTCGTAAATCTCTTCCCATTCATCCTCTTGTAGAGCTGACTTTGGTGCAGGTACCAGCCTATAATCATCAGCATAATAGCCGATGCTTTTATCCGGGGCTGGCTCACTGCCTTTGGTGTACAGTCTTCTAGGGAATTCAGAGGCCATTATCTAACACAGATTTCTGCATCAACGGTAACAAAGCTCTAATGAGAAAAACTAGTTATAACTAACGGGTTGAAACTATACACGAATGAAGTCTACTTTTACAAAATAAAGTCCTACTTTTTGATACAATGAAGTCTACTTTTTCAAAATGAAGTCTACTTTTTCAAAGTGAAGTCTACTTTTTCAAAATGAAGTCTACTTTTTCAAAATGAAGTCTACTTTTACAAAATGAAATCTACTTTTTCAAAATGAAGTCTACTTTTGCAACATGAAATCTACTTTTACAAAATGAAGTCTACTTTTTTGCAAAATGAAGTCTACTATTGCTAAATGAAGTCTACTTTTTCCAAAGGAAGTCTACTTTCACATTCTAAGTACAATCCGAGTCGAGAAGTCTACTGAAGCCAACCGAACCAATCTAAATATAAAAAAAACAGTATATGAAGTCAACGGAAGCCACATGAAGCAATCAAAACATCATAAATACTGCATATGCAGTCTACTGAACCCAACCGAAGCAATCAATACATGATAAATATTGTATATGAAGTCTATTAAAACCAATAATCCAAATGGAATCTACAAAGTTTATAGTGTTTACAGCCGTTATTAGATGAAGCCGGCGTCGAGAAAATGCAACCAGATCTGGGGAAAAAAACCTAAGTACTCAAACCCGACGGACAAAATTACAGGAAGATAGAAGAAATAGAGGAATAGCTAAGTATATATCTTCGAAAGGACATCTACTAACCGTTTTGAGGCAGGAAATGACGTTAACCTCCAGCGGCGAAAGTAGATCTGCAAAAAAAAAAACCTAATTTCAGATCTGGACACTGGTGGTTACGAAAACGGAAATGTGATGAATACGGAGGAGTAGGGAAGCATGGGGTGTGGTTGGAGGAAGAAAACTTGCCTGAACGGGTTTATCGGCGGCGGTTCTGTAAGTCGGCGGCGCCGGAGAAGAGAAACAGAAATCGCCTTCGACTTTTTTTTTTAACACGAACTTTCGACGGTTTTTTTTTTGTTACGAGATCTGTAAAGTTCCTTTATATAGTCTGGTAATTCCGTTTGGTTCGGGTAAGTTTTTTTCGGTTAGGGTTAGTAATTTTACGGGATCTAGGTAAATTTACCCGGTTACGGGTAGTTTTTCTTGGTTAAGGGAAGTTATTCCCGATTAAATTTTGGTTTAAATTTCGGTTAGATTAATTTATTCGGTTTAGCAGACTTCAATATAGAAGTCTACAACTTTTAAAACCTAAATAATAAATTTATTTCTACTTAATTTAAAAACATAAATTTCCATTTAGCAATATGAAAAAATAATTTCTGTACATTTGGGTTAAGATTACGGAATTTATGAATGTAAATTTGATACCAAAATAATTTTATCTAAATTTTAAAATTAAATTTCCTGATTTAATTACTTAGTAGATTTCATTTCGATAAAAGAAATCTACTATTAGACTTCTTTTCCTTTTTAGTTGACTTTGTCAGGGTGTAAACGGTAATTAGGACATCCGTTTTTTGTTTACTCATACAGGATTAAATGGTTTTTCACTACCCCTTTAGGTTATTTTTGCCAAATGTTTTGTCAGAGATCTACTTTTGTATTCAAAGTCAAATTTTATGTTATTTTTAGCAAAAACTGCTTGTTATATTTTAATAGAATCTCTCTTTAATATAGCATTTGAGTTTATAATTTAGCTATATTATCATGTAAAACAATTATAATCCGTTAAAAATTAACGATAATTAAGTAAGGTAGTCTCTCGAGAAAATATATGTTGCTAGTTGTAAAGAAAAAACATGCGTGTCATCACAATTTGCTAATGAAAATTAGCAATCATTTGTCATCGAATTAGTGATGGATTGTGGATACCTCATTTCTTCTAATGTTAGATACAAAATAAAGGATCTCGATTGATTTGAAATTTAAAATTCTGTCATCATTAGTTATATAATCGCTTGAAAATATAGTCTTATTCATTATTAATATCAAACACTAGTAAAAGAACGCGAATAACATAGAGTGAATAACACTAAGCACCATGCATGCAAACTACAAAGGAAGTACCGGCATGGAGCGCCAAATTGTTAACGGTCACTGCCGTTTCTGATTTAGTGTCGTCGGTTACCAACGCCACCGCCACCACCAGCTCCTCCTCCTGCACCACCTCCGGCTCCAACTCCTACGCCAACATTTGCTCCTCCTCCTACACCACCGCCGACTCCTCCACCACCTCCTAGACCACCACCAAGTCCTCCACCACCAATAACACCACCAAGTCCTCCACCTCCACCTCCTCCTACACCACCACCAAGTCCTCCACCTCCACCTCCTCCAACACCACCGCCAAGACCACCTCCACCTCCACCTCCGACAGCACCACCGGCACCACCTCCAGCGCCTATCCACCTCCAACAGC